AACATCTACGGCAATGAGAAGTTTGTGTCTCCCACAGAAACATTCCACTTTGGATGAACTAAGGGAAGTAACACCGTGACTTTTCACATGATGAATATGGAAATAACAGACAAACTTTTGGGAGGATAAAAGGTCCCTAATTTCAACTTTCCTTGAATACTTTAATTCATGGATTTTCTGCTTTGGTACCATAACATCTACTGTAAATATATGAAAGGGTCAATTAAATTTCACTTGCCTTATGTCATTATTAAAAGTAGGAAAGTTACTTTCTATCATGTGCAATTTGGGTTTATGTGCTTCAATGTCAAGTCTAATGCCATACTTTTAGAGTTCTTCAGAAAATTGCTTCTGAGAAGTAGTTGAAAGAACTGAGAATATGGCAATACCTGGGTTCACAAATGCTTCTAATCACAAACAATTTGTTCCCAAACAAAAGCATTTGGCAAAAATTAGCTTTCATTCGCAAACTCCACGCTGAGTGACAGACATGGCCCTGGTCATCTTCCCCACACAGATACAAATGCAGCCATGTTCCCCAAAAGTGTGAAACAAATTTGTGAACTGAGATGTCACTATATTTAGTTTGGAAAAGAGGAGTGCTTTTCTATTTCCTTCTGTCTGTCTGTCTGTCTGTCTGTCTCTCACCCTATCCTCATCTGCATTTATCTATCTGTACCCATCTTTGTAGCTACAGAGTAATCAAAGTGGTATACTGTAGAAAAATAGACACAGTATTTATTCTATGTGGTCCCTAAAGCATAATTCAAACCCATGGAAGTAAGCTACACACAGACCTGCTTCTGTCTAAACAATATAATCTCTCTACAGATGGTATGAGAGCGCTTCTGCAGCCCTAAACCACTGTGGAAGGTATTCATGGACCAGGTGGAACTAAATGATTTATCTAAAATTCCCCTTAGATCCTTGATATCAGGCATCTGTAATAGAAAGGTGGATGTAAGGGTCCCATAAGGGACACTGTGCTGGACTGTACTTATGGCATGGGTAAGAAAATGCCAGAGGATATGCTTAGGGTGGCTAGGTAGGTGCCACTTAGATATAATGTGTGACTTTGGGAAATGAGATTATAAGAAGTTGTAAGTTTGTGTTACCTGAGGGTGACTTTGGTTTTGGAAATAGTTGAAAGTGTTCCATCTGGAATCATCACGCTGGACAATCTTGCTAGGGGAGTTGAAAAAGAAACACAGTATAGGCATCATCCTAGAAGAATGAAGTTGATTTTCTTGCTACATCCATAAGCTCAAAGTGAAATACGAAAGAGCTCCTCAAAGTGGTACTCTGAAAATGTGTGCAGCTCTGAGAACATTAGGAGGGGCTGCACTCAATGAGTGTCTAATTCTGAAGTGATTTTCAAAGATTAGTCTGATACTTTACATGTCTAGATGAGGGATTGTTTATTTCTTGTGAGAGAACATTTCTAAGGCCACTAGAAGATCCAGTCTGGGCTTCTCCCACTAGAGAATTAATCACATTCCATACGAACCTTAAAAAGACCCTTAGGGCTGTCTGGTTTGGCCTCTGTGTGCTAGCTGCAGTGTTTTCCCTACCCCACCTTTGCCCCCTCACTACTTTGTGTCCTCATTTATCTGCTGGCACAGCGGCATGGCCTTTCTGGAGGTCACTACCTGCTCAGCACATGTTTACAGCTGGACAGCTGCTGGAGCCGGTCATGTCCTAACACCTGGGGATGGCTGCCTGCGGTGTAGAATCTGAAACACCGAGCGCCGTCTGCAACCCTTTTTAGTGGGGACAGAGTCTGTCTGCCTTTCAAGAAGGATCTGCTTAAATAATAAATTCTGTCAGAGGAAGTACGCTGAGAAATCCTGATTCAGATTTATATAATGAATGAGGCTAGAGCCTTCTTCATACAGCAGAGTCTGGAAAGTGGAAAAAGAGATCATTAGGGCAGATGACAAGGTGCCAAAGGGACAGGAGGAGAGACTGGGCAGCTGAAGACAAGCACTGGGGATGACACCACAGCTTTGTTTCAAGTCAGTCTTACAAGCCTATACTGATGGAGGAAGAAATTGGGCAGCCAATATCACAGAGCACCTAGAATAACTCTTTTACTAGTTAAAGATCTCAGGTTGGACAATGCAGGAAGCATGGAGTTATCTTCAATCCACATGGCTGTGGCACTGGTGGCTATTTATCCCCCCCATCAAACGTTTCCATGCTCCAAAGTGTCAGCCCTCTCTGTTTCCTTCATTCTTGACCAGGGACTTTGGGTGAGGATAAAGCACGTGACCCAGGCTTGGACAATCAATCCATCATAATTTTCTCCCCACAGTGATTGGTTCAGGATTAGCCACGACAGTGACATTCAGTGATAATTTTGCTAGGACCAAGGCAGAAGTCTTTCTTGCAAGATTGAACCTGGGACGATATAAAGCTGGATTTCTTCCAGCCATCTGGAAACTACCAGGAGCTTGAGACTGAAGCCAACACAAGGCAGACAGAGCAGAGAGGTAGAAAGAACTGTCTCAGGGACATTGCTTGTACTCTGAATTCAGCAAAGCCTGAAGCTTGGTCTTCTGTTGGACTTTTCAATTTTTTTTTTTGTCTTAAGTTTAATGTGAAGCATCTGTTTGCCATCACAGAAGCTATGACGGTATTATGACATATCGGTTCCATGTAGCTGATGAACAAGGGTAAGAAGGGTGGGGCAGGACTATTGGCAGAAGTTACTGGCCGGTGAGCTGCAGTACTCCACAAGAAAGAGATTTTAAGAGCATGAAGACAATACAAGCTCCCTTGAGGGTGAATGCCTCTTCTGTGGTAGGATTTGCAATCTGCACAGAATAGTCTCTTGGAAAGGGCAGTACAGAATACATTCAAGCATCAACTGAGGGGAATTGAATTGAGCACTGTTTAAATCTGTGTGTTTCAAAGTCATTTCTTAGTGACCACAGCAACAGAGCTACATGCCCTTTCAAATTCCCTCTGCAGGTATCTCAAACATAAACAAGAGATAATAAACATAATGCGGCACAAGGATTGTAATTCTGTGGTCCTGATAACAGCCCCAGTAGGCAGAACTTTCTCTATCACTAATCTAACCTTGGCTCACATCACTGCATGATTCTTTAGCTTCCATTTTCTTCAGGGAAAAGATGGATCGTGAATCCTAGCATCCAGTACATAGCTTTGCACAGGCTGCACTCAAGTAAGTGATGTCTGATGTCTTAGCATGAGGGTCTCTCATTAGGATCCCCTTCTGCACCACAGCTACTTGGCAGTCTCAGATGTGGTCATTAGGACTCCCTGGGTTGATGATAGGCTCTCCTATACTACTTTACCAGCCCGTGGAAATCCCACTGCACTGAGAGGAGCTGCTGGGCTCAAGACAGAGGAGACAGAACCATGCTGTCTCCTTCAAGTCTTTCCTCTTTTGCCTGCACCTGACACTGTATGTGTCTGAAAAGATACAAAGTCATGCATTCATTTTTTCATTCAGCAAACTCTCATCAAGAATCCACTGTGTGCCAGGCTCTGGTTGTGTAGTGCTGAGCAAAGCAGACACAGTCCCTGCCTGTGGGCTTCCAGGATGACCCCTTCCACCCAGTCTGGACTCCTCCTTTGCTACTCTCCTGAGATGCCTCAGCTCAGGTATCCAGGGTGTATCCTGTGTTTCCTTTGGAATCAGGTCTATGCATCCTTTGGTGATGCCAAAGTCCTTGTCTTCAGGTCTTCTTTCTGTTTGTTTTTTCTTTCCCCTTAGAAAATACAGCTCCTAGAACCCAAGAATCTGTTCCTTAATCTGTGCCTGGACCACAAAATCCTGGCTGGCTTCTCTAAAATCCAGCCGAGGCCTGGGCTCCCCAGGAACAATTTAACGGTTATGATTATGGTGAATGTTACATTTTAAATATCCATTTGGGCTAAATTAGTAAAGCCCAGTTCAAATTCTAAAAGTATGCATAACTCTTACAGTTGATCGAAAAGGTTACCTTGAGGTTACGACCCCCCAGTGATGGTTGAATTTTTGACTCTGAAGCCTGAGGATAAAGGTCCTGGCTCTACCTGCTGCCCAGCTGTCTGAACGCTGTGCCAGCGAAGACGCACCCTGCCTGCTTGCCATGCAGAAAGGATGTGCCAGGCTGTTTTTTGTTCACATTTCACAGAGCAGCAGCCCTAAACTGCTGGGATGGGGGAGATAAGATCCGGTTCCCAGGGACCACCTTGCACTGGTATCATGCTGGGATCCAGATTCACCCTTTACCCTCAGTCTGGGCCAGGGCTCTAGCACCTGACTGAAACCTCCATATAGTAAAGAGAAGCTAGCGAGTGAGAGCCTGGGAAACTTCCAGTGTGCGAGTGTGTGTGTGTGTGTGTGTGTGTGTGTGTGTGTGTGTGTGTGTGTAAGGGTGTCAGATTGAGAAGGTGTAAAAAGGTAGAAAGCTGGAAGGGAGGAGCGCTCCTTGGCAGGGACAGAGGGTGCTAACGCTGCCCTGAGTCCAAGAGAGCACCCCCAAAGCGCTCGTATACTACATGCCCACGTGCGTGCGTGTACCAGGAGAGCAAAGATCGGAGAGCCGGAGTCGGAGGCAGAACCAGGAGACGCAGAGGGACCGCAGGCAGAGCCCCAGCGAGCGCGCTGCCCTGGCGCGCAGCCCGGTGGCCGCCCACTGGCGGGGGAGCTGTGAAGAGGAGGCGGTGGCAGTGGCGGCCGCGGCGGCCGCAGGGTTTCCCGGGGCTTCCCCTCCCCGGGTCGCAGG